AAATAGTCTGAATTTCAGATGCTGCACAAGGGCAATGCATTTCTCCCAGGGGTGTCTGTGTTTACGTGTGCTGGAATTACAACACAGAGAGCTGGGAAGTGGCTGCCTGGGAAGCAAAATTATTCTTGTAATCAGAGAATCACAAAAAAACAGGAAGGGAAAGGTATCCATAAGAAATCACCTGGTCCATCCCTTGTCTTTATGCAGAGCAAACTGTGACAGTACCATTCCCAAATGATGGCTAATTTATAGCTGCAGACTTAATTATTTCCCTGTCTTTCATAGGCAATCCCCCCCACCCAGTGCCATCCCTATTATTAGGCAGTTTTCCAGGGGCTTTGGTGGTGCCTCCTTGTTGCAACTTAAACCTCTGGTTATTTCTGCTGCTGTTGGTGTATCTTCTAGCTCCTAGGATTGCAGTGACCAAACCAGATGCAGTACTACAGCTCAGACCTTCTGCTGACAGCAGTCTAACCTCTTGCACCTTTTTTTGTATATCCCAGTATAATTGCATTTTTTTTTGTCAATGACAGAATATTGTAGACTGATTTTAGCTCGTGACTCCCTAGCTCCACCACAGAAGTGCCACTTAACCTGCTGTTCCCCATTCTAAATATGAGCCGTTGATTATTCCTGATGAAGTGCAGCACCTTGTTCTCAGCCTTATAAAAATTTGTTCTCTTTTTAGACCCCTTTTTCAACTTGTCTGTGTGATTTAGAATTCTAGTCCTGTCCCCCAGCAGTGCTTATAACCTCTCAGGCTGATGTTACATCTTAAATAACCACTTTACTTATTCATTATCCAGCTGACTAATGAAATGCTGAATAACCCTTGACCTAAGTGAGTCTCTGCAGACCCCATGTGATGTATTTTTCTATGGAGACAGTGACCCAGAGCAGTTTCCTTAGCTTGCTTCTGACAATGCTGTGTGACACAGCATCAGAAATCTTCCTGAAGTTGATTAAATCGGGCTTTTCCCTACCTGCAAGGCCTGTTACCATGTCACAGAAGGAAACTAAACTGGTTTGACTTGATTCTTGACAAATACATCTTATTTGGAACTCCACTTCTTGTTTTCCAAGTGCTTACAAACTGTTGGTGGGATTATTCCTTCTAAAACATTCCCAGGGACTGATGGGAAACTGATTTGTGTGTAATTTTCCAGTTTCTCTTCCCCTTTTTGAAGATAGTCACTGCATTTACCCTTTTCCATGGCTGGTATAACTCACATCTTCCCTGAGCTCTCAGCAATAATTGCTGATGGCGATTGCTTTAGTTTCTTCTTTAAATATCCTGAAGTAGGTCTAGTGATAGCACTGAGTAAAAAGAGAGCTCTAGGCAGATGATTGAACCCCAAAAAGTGAGCTGGCACAAACTTACAAGCATATGTAACCAAAGCAAAATTCTGCTAAGTGTTCTTAGCTAAAACGTGTTCTCTGGTGTCAGTTGTGTTAGGCCCGTGCTCAGTAGTTCACTTTATTTTAGTTGCTAGATAAAATAGATGCTAAGCCCTGTGTCACTTTCTGTGCATCAACTTGATTAACTTTCCCCTTCTGCTGAATAGAGAACAAACTCTTCACTTGGTTTTTGTCTTCCTTACTCTCCATGTGTCTGAAGAAAGCTTTCTTGCTATTCTTCATGTTTCTCACTCTTTGCATCTGGTTTTGCTTCTTGGCCTTTCTGGGGTTGTGCCTGTATTCTCTTGCCACTCTATTATTCAAGTAATAGTAACCAGATACAGATTCTTCTGTTTCTTTGCTTTCTTCTTCTTTTTGAGTTCAACAAAGGGTTTATGGCCATGTTAGCTGGCAATGATTTAGCACTTTATATTAGACTGAGATTAACCACCCCTATCTTTGCCATGTGTACACATGACTATAATAACGGAGTTCAAAAATTAGAACCTTTGCCTGCACCTTCCTTTTATGCACAGATATTTAACTCAGGCCTTTAATGACAGTGATTTTATCTAGGTATAGACATTTTCTTCCTCCACTGCAATGATGTAACTTTCAGTACCTGTAACATTTAGGCATCAATAAGAGATTTTCTGAGGGAGCTACCAGATGTCTATCCTCACTAATCATCTTCCCAATAAATACCTGGATGTTTCTGATTACTTTTAAGGAAATTCTTCTGTTAGCAAATGATCGTTAGGTATGGATTGCTGTAGAAAAAGAAAACTAAGTATAAATATTTCCAACAGCCCTCTGGGATTCACTATGGCATTCTTCAGACAGCAAATGTACTCCTCTGAAGCTCTTGGAATTTTCTCATCCTTCAAAGTAAATTTAGTGCTGGTATCCCTTAGTCATAGTGGTAGGCAATAGTGAATGTAATAGCAAAGCAAGTCATGCCAGTGCTTTCATGCTTCTCTCTTTTTCAGCTTTGATGGAGGTGGTAGAACAACACAGATTTCTGGAACTTTTCCACGCAGACTGGCTCCTGTTCCCTGTCAATTGAGAACTGCATCTTGGGCCACACGGATCTATTAGCAGAGGAGTTGGGAGCTTTTTCATGCTTCTTAAAGACCATGTGGCATTTGATGCAAAACCCAGCCTGACTCTGCAAGTGCAATGTCTGATTGTTTTACATTGGCACCAAGCAATTTAAAAAAAGGACGTTATTTTAAGCTTAGTAGTGTGCTGTAAAACAGAAATAACACCTTCCACCCCATTAGATAGTGGATAGAGAGGGCCCTATTGCAGATCCCCCTCACTGTCACAAGTGGGAGCAGGTTCAACGGTATTGCATTGTCTGGACAGCAGTAGTCCAGTTCAGCAAGGACTCCTTCTGTGGTGCTAGTCTGGATAGTGGGTGGTTGAGCAGTCAGAAACCAAGACAAAGACAGTCCATCCTCTCACAGATACACTTTATTGGATGCATATACAACTATGCAAAACTTTGCTGCCATACGTAGACCCTAATAACAAGATATCACCAAACCGTGTGTAGGCATCCTTGGAGTCCTGGAATCCTGGGAATGATGTATTTCAGGATGTTCAGCTTCTTTTTTTCCCAAATTTTCACAAGTTCTGTGCTCTGATCCCCTTTTATACTTTCTGCCATTGTTTGAGAAGGGTAACACCTCAGCTTACTTCTGTGGTTGCCTTTCTTCCCTGAGATTTCACACTCCTTTCCTTGCCTCGTTGTGCTGCTTGTTCTACCTACCTACTGAAAAGTCCAAGCGGTTATGAAAAAGATTTTACAAAATAGTTACAATTTAAGAAAAGCCTATATTGATACCTTGAAAAAATATTAGAACAAAGTGTGCTTTGCACCTTATCAAAGGTTATTGCATCTGTAGGCAATTTCTTTCTATTCTCATCTTGAAGCTCAAGTATGAAAAATATGATATGGCCGTGGGACCATAATGAGGGTATGTGCAAAGAAACACATATGCCAGGGTGAATGGAAGCGTAAGGTTTGGATTTTTGTGCCAGAATTTCCATTTGGTGTTATTTAAAACTGCAGATCAGGGCTAGAATATGTGACCACCCCTAGATGAGTGTATAGTCAAACTGTACAATGTTGTTTCATTATATGCTGGCTCTTACGGAGCTGCTCCTTTAACAGGCATCTGAGGCCTGTGGAGAGATAAACAACATTAAACTGGGCCATCTCACACAATCTCTCTTCAGGCATCTGACTTCAGAGCTTGAATTAGGAGTCTCAGCTTCTCATAAAGTCAGTGGAACCATTTTGGTGCACTCATGAACACCCTGTTGACTGAAACCTTCATTTGGATCTTCCACACAAGGAAAGTTGAGTTTCAGTTCCACATTGGGCTAAAAGTTTTGCTCAATGTGTTATTCTTGTAGGAACTGCTTCCACAAACCTGGCCTGCCCCTTGAAAAGTCCTATCTTGCATTCACAAGGCAATTCCACTTTGCCAGAGAGTGGTCAGGCGCCTGGAGTCCTTTGAGATTACTTTTAAACTAGACTGGTAGAAAAGCATAAGCATTAAAATGAGGTATGTGACAGGTAATTCTGAGGAAGACACAGGAACAAGTGAAATAGAAGCAGAGTACATTGCTAGTGACAGTCCCCAGGGCTGAAGAAAGCCAGGAATAAATAGTATCTCAGCCCAGGAAGGCTGATGCCTCCACAGTCTGTCAGGTTAGTTATCCGGGACAGACCAGAAAGGCTGGAGCATCCTCCCCTGAGAGAAGGACAAAGCTGTGCATTGAACAGATACATTGCAAGATGGGTCTTTAACCACACCTGGGGTAAACAGGCATTGAGAGCCTCTTTCTTTTCCAAAATCTGGTACTTATGGAGATCCCTATCCAGGAGGGTTCATGCTTGATCTTTGTCGGGACACAGCCTATTAGCAAAATCCCAGATGAGCTTGGAGGGAGCATCCTTACAATTTTGCAGTGCGTAGGTTTTGGCTGGGCTGTTATCACAGTTACCTACGGTGATGCTATGCAGGATCCATATTCCTGGTTGGTTCATGTGCCAATGCTGCTGTTGTCCACAAAGCTTCATTTTCAATGAAGTTAAACAAAGCCCATAATGGAGTTTTCCCTGGAGTGCAGGGCACCATCAACAGACCCTAGATCTTTATTTTTTCAACCAAACTTCTGAGTTTTAATCGCATTCAAACCTCCCAGAACAAAACCTCACTTTGAGTTACAGCTAAAGCAAGGGATGGGAGCTGCATATTTCAGCACAGTCCCTTTGGGAATCAAAGCAACAAACACAAAAATTTCCTAAGACCCTCTCAGGTGGGTGGCAGTAGCCAGTGGTCACCAAAGAGTGGACATGGCCTTCGAGGAGCAGAGGAGGAGTACAGCAGCAACCACCCACTACATTGTGGTCCCTTTAAATCTCCTTCTCCACTTGGCAGCTCCAATTTTTCAGTGTTGCTATAGCAAATCTCCATGGCAATGACCCTAATCAGGGAAGGGGGGATGCAGGGGGGACGCATGCTCAGAGTAGCTGCTGGAGCCTCGCCTGCTCATTACAGCTGCTCCAAGGGTCTGACACTCAGGTGAAGAGAAAGATCAGGTACTTGGCAAACTGGTCCTTGGGGTGCATCGCAAGCTCATGGCATGTCACTGCAGTGATGTGTGCATGTGGATTTGTCTGTACGTGTGGGTCTGTGCTGATCACGTCTCCTCCACTCCTTTCTCAGAAGTGTGCTGGGAGAAAATTGCTGATTTTTGTTATTTCTCCTTGTTTCAGGCAGGGAAGAAAGCTTGAATTCTTGATGAGAGTAATGGCGTTGCCGTCTGTCTGGAGCGTGATGCGTGTGGCGATCCCGTTCATCTCGGTGGTTGGCCTGCTAAGTGTGAGGCTTGTGGGGGCCAACCAGGACTCTGGGAGTGTCATTCCTGCAGAAAGTAGGTACCTGCACCCCATCCTGCTTTGTTTCTGCTACTTAACCCACAGCAGCCACACAGACCGTAAGCTCCGGGGGAAACGCTGCATTGCCTGATGAGTGAGGGAGTAACGATGAATTCATAGTGTGTCAGCAAAGCACATAAAAACAGCGAGCAAGCAAAGGATTAGGAGTTATTTAGGGGAAAAGTACTTAACTGAATACTGTCATTTTAATGGGATCTTGTTTTAAAGCTCCTCGGCCGTAGGTCTTTTGGATCTGCTTCTTGAGAGTTTCATTTCCAGATTTGCCACAATACATATTAATGCTTGCTAGTCTGGATATTGTTAGGAGGAAATTTGTGTTTATTTCTGCTGGGACATTACATTTTGCTTATTTTAGTGTTCAGTTGGAACAATAGCTCACGTTCGACTTTCTTGTAATTGCTATAGATTGACACAGGGGAAGTGGACTCAGACAGTGTATTTGTAAAGCATATTTCTGAAATCCTGCTGCTATTCTGCAAATCTAATAAATAAATAAATATTACAGACTGGCTTGAGCACACTGTGGAGCTGGGAGCTCTTGAATTTGGATCACAGCTCTGTATTAGCTTCCTCTGTCATTTTGAGCAAGTCTCTAGTTAAACTTTCTCAACTCCAAAATAAGGCAATAGTTCAAAGATATTAGGGGATGGAGTCAATGTTCTCAGGGTGTTTTGGTGACAGGAAGTGGGAAGTAGCCGCTCATTAGAAACTTAAAATATCCTCTGGGAGAAAAAAAAAAGGAAAGTAATTGCATACAAACCAACCTCTAGTTCTTAGTCATGCTTACTTTGTATCACAGCTGTCTTTTTACATGACTACCAAAATATTTAACACAAGATCTGTTTTAGTCACTGCATTTTATTCTCCTCCATTACTAGTTTTCAAATACACTGATGTGTATTTGTCTCTACAGAACTTAAATGCTGAATTCCCTTCCTTTTCCATTTGCTTCTTTTTTTTTATTAGTGCTAGGCTTTGGTCTGTTCTAAAATAGACCTAATCTTTGTTTTATGTGTCCGTTTTCTAGGCATGTGTTACTTAACTTTAATAAGTTTTGTTGCTAGAAGTCCATTTTATGTCCTCAAGGAGAAAATCATGCTTGAAAAAAAAATTACATGCGTCCTTTTTGTGTCTATGTTAGCAGAGGCAAGTCAACGTATTTTTGGGAAAAAATATATGGTGATTCCTTTTTCTGCTTGTGTAGTGGAAACTCTGGCTTTATCTGTAGAAGAAAACTCTTGGCCAGGGCCTCTGACCCCAATCTCAAGGAGTTATCTCATGGTTTTAATATCCTGTGGCCAGGCTACCGAGTCCCCTGAAGAGCCCTTGAGAAAGATGCCTTGTCTTGTCTTACTCTCACATGTGAGAGTGAGGAATGAAGGGCAGGTCCGAGTGTTTCTGTGGCCAGTGCTTCTGCAGAGACATTCTGCTCTGTCCTGAGTAATGAAGGCTGGTAGCATTGCTACGAATGTGTAACAGTATTGATGTCTGAGGCCAGGCCAGGAGGAAGATTCTCAGCTGGTCATGAAGTGTAAATTGGTTTTTTGTGCTGCTGAAGAGAAGTTTTAATGCAACAAGGAACTTGGAATGGTCCCAATCAGTCACTTGTTGAGAGTGCTGCATAGCTGCCAAGTGCTCGAGGTACTTTTCTTTGCCCATCATGGCTCTTCCTGATAGTTAACCAGTGGAACTCCTCCCTTAGGACACTGTGGATACTAAAAGTTTGCATGGGATTGCAGAATGGATTAGGTAAATTAAACAAAAAAAAAAATCTTAGAAAAGGCTGTTAGATACAGCAGCAGTTCTTCTGGCTCAGGAGCTGCCTCAGCATATTCCTGAGGCCTGGAAGGATCTCTGGGGACACACCCCTCCATGCTTGCCCTGTTCTTGTGCTATTTCATGGGCATCTATTGTTGGCCATGGAACTCACATCTATAACCAGTGCCCATGGATGTTCTCTGTCATGGGGACATGACTGGACCAGTATAGAATCATAGAATAGTTTGGTTGGAAAAGACCATTATGATCATCTAGTCCAACCATAAACCTAGCATTGCCAAGTTCACCGCTAAAGCATGTCCCCAGGTACCACATCTACACATAATTTAAACTGCTAGGATGGTCCCTGTCATGCTTTTGTCCAAATGGCAGAAGGCCATTTGCCTATCTGGATGACAGAGTTTTCTGTTCTAGAGATGAGCTGTCCCATGCCAACTGCTCTCAAAGCTTTTGGGAATGCTCCTAGTCACATTTAATGTACTACAAGAGATGTAGCTCATGGGAGATAGAACACTGGGCCAGGCAGACCTTTGATGTGATCTAGTACAGACATTTCTGGATCTTTTCCTGCTTGATGTCAGATCCACTGACTATTTCTCATCAAAGAGCTGATCTTCCTGGGCTCTGACCCACTTTGGGGGCAGTGCTGCTGCAGCACTTGCACACACCTTCCCTGTTGCTGGTGCTTAAGTCCATACTGTCAGCCCATTTGGCTGTGTGATCCTGGATGACTCAGGGAGAAAAAGGAGGCTCCAGTACATATTCTTGACAGGGATATATGATGTACATGGACCATACTAAGTGTCCTTCTGTGGGGCAGAGCAGTGTGGTGCTTGATGCTTTTCTCTGTTCCCAGGTCTGTGACATGGGACTGGGAACATTCCTTTAGTTGGAACAACCCCTCATGGACCACACAGCACTACAGCCTCTATCTCTGACTTGGTGGGAGAAATGTGTCCCCCCTGCAGCACCACGAGCAGGAGAGAGGCAGCAATGCTCTCTTGTGAGTGTGGGAGGTGAAGGAGTCACAGGAGAGTTCTTCTTGGTATTGCAGGGAGATCCTGCCCTGTATGTGGCACCGATATCTGGCTTGGGGTACCATCACCTGCTCTCCTCTTGGCATACTTTCTGCCAACCAGACAGCCAGGCCCAGCTTTTTATGAATAACACTAATTAGCAGTAATTAATCATGTCCTTATACTTTATACACAGCACTTTGCATATGTGAGAGACTGTTCCAGTATGAAGTGATGTTACTAATGTTTGCGGATTATTTTCTTTAAAGTTTGATGCAATCCACTGAAAAAAAATTAAGTAATTTCCCTAACCTCTCAATATAGCCCAGGTCACCCACTGTGAAAGCTGACATGTGGAATTTGAAAAACAGAAGCTGGTCAGTCTGTTAGCCAAGGTGCATGAAATACGAAGAGTAAACGCCATGTGCATGCAAGGGAAAGTAAATTAGAGTTCCACAGTGCTTTCAGTTCCAGTTTTTCACCAAGAAGAAGCCAAGGAGCATATTTTAAGCTCTCCTCCCCCACTTCTCCCCAAACACACAAAGACACATACAGTCTTTGTGCTGACTGGACCCATTTAAAGAGTTATAGCTGAGTCTTGATAATTCTCATTATGATAATCCACAAACCTGGTAAGTCTCCTTATGAATGATAGTGTGTTCCCAGCTGTCAGCAAGGAATTAATAGCACTCTGCTGTACCTTGCTGTGGTGTGACTTAAGGTTTGGTTTCATGATTGCTTTAAGCTGATGTAAGCCTGTGCTACCTCTGCCCTTCTCCTCCCCATAACCTGGCCTCCTGTCCTTGCCCTATTTCTAGTCTGGCCTCAGAACTTGGGCATTCAGGATCTAACCTGGAGAAAAAATATACAGCTGACCAAGAAACTGCGTGGTCACTGCTGCTGTGAGCAAGAGAAGGTGTGGGCACACATAGCCAAGGACGGACAGCAGGGTGGGAATTGCTCCTATTTGCAACAGCACATATTTAGATTTGTTTAAAATCTTTGTGAAAACAGACCCTTGGACATCATTACTTCAGAGAAATGTCCACAGGCATCCTAGTAAAATGTGAGCATGAAGAGAGATTAAGTCCAGCTAGATAGGCCAGGTTACCAGCTCAGCTCTTTGTTTTGGAAAGGAGACACCAAGACAGAGAATGATGGAGAGCAGCAAAGTCATAAGTGAGACAAAGATGGTGAATATTTAATAACTGTCTCTTCCAGTGCAAAAATTAGAGGCAGGAAATGAAAGCAGCAGATGTTAACTTCACAGCAGACAGGAATGGCATTTTGTTCACATGGAGAATCACAGAATGTTAGGGATTGGAAGGGACCTTGAAAGATCATCTAGTCCAATCCCCCAATAGCTGAGCTGTGGAACTCATTGCCACAGGATGGTGTAGATACCAAAAGTTTAGATGAATTCAGGAAGTAATGAGGCAAAGTAATGTGAGAAAAAATCATAGAGGTCTTATCACATGTAGAAACATCAGCCAGACTCAGGATATTCTCCAGCCTCCTGGTAAGCTAGAACATTGCTAGAGGCTTATTCTTACATCTTCCTTAAGTATCTGGTATTGGCTACTGCGAGAGTCTGGCTAGTACAGTAGGTTAAAAGCCCAGATAGAATCAGAACTTGGGCAGCTCTGCCAGTGTCCAACTGTAGCTAAAGGCTTTCCAGGTAGTGGGGTATTGCCCCTATTTTATCTGGGGAACTGCATTCAAGTTGTTCTGTGCTAGTGCAAGATGCTAGACAGAGAGGTCAGCACTGCCCTAGTTCAGTCCCCAAAACACTGAACAGATCTGTGCTCTGCAGGGCTGCATGGATGGAAGAGTTTATAGCCAGCCACCTCCCCAGCTGCTTGTCACCTCCTCCCAGGTACAGCTGTCCTCTTGTCTGCTAGTGGTGTTGCTTCAGGGAGTTCTCTCTGCACCACTGAGAGTCATAGAATCACAGAATGGTTTGGGTTGGAAGTGACCTTAAAGATCATCCAGTTCCAACCCCCCTGCCATCAGCAGAGACACCTTCCACTAGACCAGGTTGCTCACAGCCTCATCCAACCTGGCCTGGGACACTTCCAGGGAGGGGGTATCCACAGCTTCTCTGGGTAACCTGTTCCTGTGTCTGACCACCCTCACAGGAAAGAATTTCTTCCTAATATCTAATCTAAACCTCCCCTCTTCCAGTTTAAAGCCATTATCCCTTGTTCTATCACTCCCTACCCTTGTACAAGGTCCCTCCCCAGCCTTCCTGGAGCTCCTTCAGGTATTGGAAGGCCGCTGTAAGGTCTCCCTAGAGCTTCTCTTCTCCAGGCTGAACAGCCCCAACTCTCTCAGCCTGTCCTCATAGGAGAGGTGCTCCAGCCCTCGTATCATACTCATGGCCTCCCCTGGATTCACTCCAGTCGGTTCATGTCCTTCTATTGTTGGGGGCCCCAGGACTGGATGTAGTGCTCCAGGTGGGGTGTCACCAGAGCACAGTAGAGGCCCAAAATCACCTCCCTCGACCTGCTGGCCATGCTTCTCTAGATGCAGCCCAGGATACAGTTGGTCTATCAAAAGTCAAAATGATGTGTCCCATCCTGGCATACAGCTGTTTGGAGGAATTACATGAGCTTTCCCACTGCCAGTGCTGCAGGGCTGCTAGCTCCCAGCAGGCAGGGGTGCTAACCTGACCCAAAGGCAGCTGTGCCTGGAGAAGGACCCTCCACCAAGGAGGACAGCCCAGGAAACTATATTAGAGAGTGAATATCCCATTATGTGGTGAAACTGGCTTTATCTGCACTGTGGCTTTGGAGAGCAGTGCCCTGCTGGGAGCTTTGCATTGTGCTGATCCAGGACACACAAAGCTGCACAGGCAGATGTCCTCAGTGCCACCACCATTTTCCTGCAGAAGCTGCTTTGATGCCAGAGCAGCTGTTTTCACAGGGGTTGCAGAAGTGAAATAACCACTTGGCATGGTTGTGCCATTCCACTAGTACCTCCCTGTCCACACAGGACCACTTGGCTGCCATAAATACTGGTGAATAATCCCACACAGCCATGGCCTTCAAGAGGGCCTGGGAACACTTCTTGGGTAGGAGGCAGTGATTGAGTATGGAATTCATGACTCTGGTCAAAGATGCTTTCTTCACACTGCCAGAGAAGGAGGCATTCATTTATGACCCCAAATTGGTATTTTCTCCTTCAAGTTCTGATTTAGTTAACACTTTAGTGACAAGCACTTCAGGGCATGCAGCGTTTCACTGAGGTAGGGCCAGGTCACAGTGCTTCTGAGGAGACCACAGCAAGGGGAGGGAGCAGGCCATGGCACCACGTGAATGATGGGTTTGCCAACAGCAGACTGAGGATGGAGATTCTTTCTAAGGGCTCTGCTCCATGATCCGAAGTGAAAACAGTTAAATTACTGAAATACTGAAAACAGGAGGGGGTTGAATGACTTTAAAATGTGCTCAAAGCCATCTTGTCACTAATCCTCTCAGGCCTGGAGAGGCCATCTTGGTGAATGATGCTGTGTTTATGGAGGTGGGGACTTTGCATCTCCCCACATCCCCAGAATTAAAACCCTGGCTTGATACCTGGGTCTCCCTGAGATGTCACACAGAATCACACAGAATTGCCTAGATTGGAAAAGACCTTCAGGATCATTGAGTCCAATCATTAACCCCACACTGACATGTCCTCGACTAACCCATGTTCCTCAGCACTATGTATACACGGCTCTTAAATACCCCCAGGGATGGGGACTCCACCACTGCCCTGGGCAACCCCTTCCAATGCCTGAGAACCCTTTCAGGAAAGAAATTCTTCCTCAGATCCAATCTCAACTGCCCTTGGCACAACTTGAGGCCATTTCCTCTTGTCCTGTCACTTGTTCCTTGGTTGAACAGACCAACCCCCACCTCTCTACACCCTCCTTTCACATAGTTGTACAGAGCAATATGTCAGCTGTGTGGAGGGGAGATGGAAGAGGATGAGAAATACCTGAACAGGTAAAAGCCCCTAAAAGGGGACCGAGAAGCCCTCTGGCTGCTCCCTTCCATCAGGCCCAAGTCAGAAGTGTGTGTTGGCCGCAGGGAGCCAGGCGTGGGGTGCAGCAGTGCTGTATGGTGGCTCTGGCTCTGGGCAGCTCCCAGCCATCTCAGCAGCAGCTTTGCACTCTCTTTGCTTTGTCAGAACAGCAAAAGTGGCTGCCCATGGACAAGGATTTTGGCACCCTGCCCATTGTGGGGGCTCTGTGATCAATGTAAAATGTCCCCTCTCCCCATTCCCCCTGCATCTCCTCCAGTATCTGCAATTTCTTCTTCTGAAAACCCACACTTCATCAACTCCATGACTGAATGAAAGGGCTTGAGGTAAGTGCAGGGTGAATCCTTGCAAAGCAGAAATGCCCGGGTCTCAGAAGTGAGTCATTTTAGTTGTTGTCAAGTCCCTTCCTCCACCTCTTCTCTGCCTTTTCCCTGCCCTGCCCTGTGCACACCCACTGGCAGCAGCTGCAGAGCCAGTGGGATGCTTTGCATTCCTGGCAGAGAAAAAATACAGCAGCAGGTGAAAGGAAGCAAATACAGATCTGGCACTGTCCCTTGCCAAGCTGCTCTGTAAGAGCTCCCGCAAAAGCAGACCTGCCTGTCTGATTTCTGAACCCCTGCAAACTGCTATTTTCAGTGTTATCAGTTGAGAATTAACCCATGTCTGAGAAGTTTTGAGGTTTTTCCATTTTAAGAGCAGAGGCTGAGGGCTAAAGACACACAGCACTAAGCAGAATCAAGCCTGGGCTATGTTCGGAAAAGCACAGGCAGCAAAATGCTCCTGGGCTTTTGCTGGTCCTTACACATTTGCACAAGGAGAGGTACAGCCCTAACTTTGTACACATGCAGGTGTGGGTGCTGGTAAAATGGGTTTTCTCCCGGCATTGCAAGGTCTCTGAGTAGTCCCTCTCTGCACTGCCACACTCCAAATTTCATGCTGTGACAGTGATGTCTTCTGTACCTTTGTTGCAGGTCGTCCCTGTGTTGACTGCCATGCGTTTGAGTTCATGCAGAGGGCGTTGCAGGATTTAAAGAAGACAGTGTATAATCTAGACACACGGGTATGTGTTTCTATAGAAATGCTTTCACTTAGCCTTTATCTCCAAGTGGCCAGGTCTGCCTGTCTGTGTACAGCAGACATGACATCTCTGCTGACTCACTTCCATTTCAGCAAATAGGATTGTACCAAGTACTGATTATTTTTCACAGGCTGGAGAGGCCCATTAAAGATCATCTGGTCAGATTCGTTGCATAACAGGATAAAGAACTACCCACAGACAGTACCTGCATCACATAGAGAAAGAAAGAAGGTGTATGAAGGGAGAGAAGAACAAGAAATATGATTTACTCTTTATCTCCCAACACGGCTTCTGAGCTGTGGACAGACTGTTCACTGGGCAGGAGCAGAAAGCGAACCAGAGAGCAAGAAGGTGGCAGGCAGGGCTGTCAGAGAGGGAAGGGAAGCACATATATTCTTTGCTCATGAATCAGTACTCCATGAAAAAAAGGGAAGCACATTTGCTCGAGTAGTTCTCACAGCACATAGGGCATTTTGCAACTTCACATGCCAGTCTTGTGCTGCAGAGGTCCCAATGAACAAGAAATGAAGGTGTGTTAAATGCCCTGATTTTAGCAATAGATACATGTGTGGGTTCATAAATATGCACAAACACTGACTGGAGTAGGACTTACCACAGTGGTTCCCATGCTGTTTGAAGTCTGCGAGGGTCACGAGGTCTCTCACCTCTAATAAACACCCCCCGCCACGTATGTCTTGTCCTACCTCTCCTTCCCTAACAGCCCCATTAACATTGGCAAGGTGACAGTAAAGCAACTTGTAGGGAGTGAAACCCGTTCACAGCCCCATCTCCCAGTTCCTTTAGGTGCCTGCTCAGTGGCTGTGGCCAGTTCATTCTCTGTTGGTAGGTGAGAAGGGCTCCTTGTTCCTCTAAATTCACGCTCCACTCAAATTGTCATTCACAGCAGAGTCAACTGAAGAGATGTAAATCAATTATGTGTGTCAAACTATAACACAGAAGGGCAATTACATTGCTTTGCCTTTGGTTTCTTGTGACCTTGGGCAATCATGTAGGGCCCCACACAATAAGGTCGGAGTGACTTTAGGTTTCTTGAACTATCAATAGCAAACTGATTAGGGCAGAACTCTGAGTGCAGTATGGGTTACGTTGCAAAACTTTCCCATGCACTTGTGTAATACTAAATAACTGCTAAGTGTCAGACTGAGAATAGAGGGGCTTTACCTCCAGCAGCTGTGCTGGGCTGTTCTGGTGCATAGTGAGGTTTTGACCTGTTTGGATTAAGTTCAGCTGAAATGTTTGGTACCTACACACAACACGACGACACAATGTGCAATCACATCTGTGTTGGTTCTTATGCTGTCCCCAGGCTTTACATGGGAAGTTAAAAGAGGTATTAAATTTCTGTCTAAATTGCACTGGGAAGATTTTTTTTTTAATGCAATAGAGGCAGCACAGTTCCTTAACCCCACTTACAGAGATATTCAGACATATCTGTGTTGGCTCTTCTATTTGGAGGGTAGAATGAGAATGCAGCCCATCAGACAGCAATGCTGTGTTGTAAGAAGTGAAGCAGAATATAAAGGGAGAAGCTGGTCCTAGAGCACCACAAGATAAGCTTCTGTTTCTGTAAGGACCTGGACAGGCCTGAGCTGCCACGGCACTGATTCAGAGAGCTCTCAGTATTACAGAACAAGGAGCACAGGAACAGTACATCACCAAAACAAATGTAATGAGTTATGGGGAACATCACCCACCCTTTGACAACTGCCAGAGTTTGATATTACTAGTAAAGAAAGGGTATATTGCTGTCCATCTTTTCCAGCCTTTGGGTTGAGACTCCAAAGGCCTTTCTGAAAGAGATGCTTTAGTTAAATACAAATTATTGAATGATGCAGAGATCCTAAAGTCAAATACAGTGGCCTGGGCCCTACAAACAGCCCACTGTGGTCTTCCATTCTCTGACAGGTACAGCTTCCATATCCTTACTCAACCACTGGTGCTTGGCTTATGCTCACCAGCTATAATTTCTCAAGTTTTACAAACAAATAACTTCGTTCAACAAATCCTGACTCTTGAAAGTTGTTGTTACAAGAGCAAGCCCCAGGCACTACTGCTACTATCAGGAACTTCCTATGTCAGTGCCAACAATTAATTTTTGTAATTGATGCTTGTCTTTCATAGCCTTTCTGTTTACAATTGAGTGGTCCCAGAGCTGCTCTTCCTGCCTGCAAATAGTAATGAGTGACACCTAGGCAGGGCTTGTGGTAACTGTGACAGCTTGTTGGCATTACAGTGAAATCCAATAAGCCTGTTTGATGTTAAGATGGTTCTATGATTTCTACTGGGCTCCCAACAATGAGAGCATACACTCATCCAGGATTACATTGTACAAGGGAGGAGCAGTGTTTAGTAACACCTGCCATTGCACTAAGCTGATAAGGGAAAGCAGACAAGGAAAGTGAACGAGTCCTCTTTAATGCAGAAGTTTGAGTTGGAAAAGGATAGAGGGCTGTAGAGGGGAGGGAAAAGCAGTTCTGAAGCAGCCTCTCCCTGCAAAAGCTTGCAGTCTGAGAACAAGAAACGAGTAGTAGAGATTGGGAACTGTGGAGCAACAGAGGAACTGAGGAACTGCTGGCCAAGCAAGGCAGAGCTTGGTGGAATAGGTCCTCAGGTAGAAGTGCCCAGCTACAACTTTGCAAATGGTGTGTCTTTGTTAGTTAGCTCTTTGCTGTTTCTAGTTTGTCAGGAGGCATCATGTCAGAGGAACACCAGCAGGCTGAAGACCTTGTTGCTTCACAGAGCTTTTAGATAATTTGTTAACAAGTGGTTTTCAACCTTTAATGTTTTTTTTCCAGTGCAGATGGGAAACCCATTCATGATGAATTTAAGCCTCATAACTTTTTTCCCCTCAAAAAACTCTTCAAAGTAATTCTACAAACTACTTAAGGGACCACAGACCACAGAGTGAAAACCACAAGATAAGCTCAGGAAGAAGTTTCTCTTCCGTCACAGTTGCACTGGCTAATGTGAGTTGCTTGCACCAACAATTTTGAGTCTTGCAAGAGACTCAGCTTCAGAAATGATGGTGCCATTTGAGAAATTAATCCTTTTTTCTCAAAGAGTGAGACGAGAATGCACAAAAGATTTAAGGTGTTTGATTGCAATTAAATAAATTATATTTAAATATCTTTGAGGATCTGAAGTTACTTTTTTTCCTGCATCCACAGAAAAAAAGCTTGGCAATGTTTTACCACTAAGACACTTCAAAAACAAAAGCAAGTAATTTTAAATTATGTGTATAGAGAACGGTTTTTAAGCTTTTGATGGAGATTTGGGGCCATGGCTCCAAATGGAGTTGATAATAGGGCAACTGTCAGTAAGTTAACTCAGGTTAAAATAGGAGCCACAAACTCATGTCTAGATCTGCCCTGAAAGATTATGAATTTCAGACAATGAAGTTAGACTGACAGCTGGATTGAACTCAGAGTTATTCCAGAGAAACAGCAGTGTAACTGAGAGCACAACTGGCTTCTCAGCACATGCTATCTGGAGCAACTAAATTATACAGCACTGAAGACATTGTCAACAGGAAGCCATCAATCATGGCAAAGGAATTAAGAGCACTGCAGTTGAAAGTGGATTTTTTTCTCAGCATTTATAAAGGGCACTTTAATAATTTTGACAACCTACTCCCTAGAAGTTAACTGTGAAAGTGGAAACATTCAAACTATAAAAATACTCTCCATGCATCTTGGTTCTGAATATACTTATTTCATCACTTTTTCTGGATGAAAACCAGCACTAATAACTGATTTTTGACTCAGCAAAGCACCTTGACTACAGCTGTGTAGAGGGATTAGGTCTAATCAATTATATACTCTTTTAAAAAGATATATTCAGTTCTTTGATTTTATGTTTTTTTGCAGACAGAAACCCTCCTCCTGAGAGCAGAAAAGAGAGGCCTGTGTGATTGCTTTCGTTCAATACACTGAAATGAGCACTGGGATTTGGCCGATGGACATTTAATCATTTTTAAAATGCTGTTCAAAAAATTACAGGAAGATACAGAGTGCAAGTTGTGCCACACTGCAAGGAAAACAATTTTTGTCCAGACAGGTACAGCTCAGTTAGATCATTTTTGCTTTGATGTGATTTATCATTACTGTATGCAACATTGCATCTGCTGAAATGTCAACGGAAGAAAAAGTGCCAAAGTGTTGCTCATGGTTTTTATGCAAGGATAGCATCTCACTTTTTCTGGTGTTTCAAGCCAAAAATTGTCCTTGAACTCCCAGGCCAACCCTCAGCAAATGTGAATTGCTATAGATCTGTGAAAGTCAGTGGAGTCAAATTCTTTAATGTATTTATGGTAGAATGTATACCTAACAGGGATAAAAGGCAGCTAATTTGCAACAATGCATAGCTAAATATTTGCAAACAGGCAGTCATGTCTTTATATAGAAATTAATAGTTGTCACTGAGTGCTTGGCAGTCCAAGGAAGGTATTTGTTCTCAGTTGTATCAATAGTCCAGTGCACAGCAAACACAGTAATCTGTGTCACAATTTTAATTTCTTCAGAGCCACACAGTAGCTGTGATCTTTTTGGAGAGATTTATTAAGTACCATCTAATGTGATCACTAACATTTGTAATCACATGAATACTGCCTGGCAATTGAACTGATTGCCTCTGCCAAAATCTTCTGGAGAAGTGTCTTTCATTAAGCAAATCACATGCTGGATTGGACCACTCAAACTGGCCTCTACAGGGTTTTGGCAGAGAGCCTGCAAAATGCTTGCATGCTCAGGAATCTCCTGCAAACTGTATTTTGAGAAATATTTAAGTTCTACCAAAATGGTCAATAGCTCTTGCATGGACTTTACACTCCATAGTGGTGGTTTACAGTGCTGATACTGTTAATATTCCTGCTGCAGTCAGTGTGAGACGAGACAACAAGACAATTTAGGCAGTGTAGTAGTAGTAGGAGTTGACAGGATTGTGCCCCATTACTCTTTGAAGAAGAATAGCAAATCCCTTCCTGTTGTTTTCCTTTTTTCCTTTGTTTTGGGAGGGACAGCAGAAAATGGCCCCAGTGGAAAGTTATTGTAGATAGTAACAGATTTTTCATAGGGCTTAAAATATCATCCCTGAAGTATAATTAATAGACATTTGTATATCATCTAGAGCACCACCTAGAAACTTTTATACAAACAAGAGTATGGGAGCAGTATCAATACCAGTGGTTTTCAAAGTAATTTTATTAATGTCTATCTTATTAATTCTTATTAATATGTCTATCTTCCCACAAATGTCTGATATTTTACTGTCAGCTGCTCAGTGAGTTATAACAGTATCTATCTATATGTTTCCAAACCTATTCTCTCCCATTTTATCTGCCACAGTAGGCACAGGGAAATAGGGAACAGTGACCCACTGCCAACTTATTATTTTATGTGCAGTCACACTCAGTAAACAAAGGAGTATATTACCATATACTCTGCCAATGTGGTTTGAAAGGCATGTGGTTCTCAGCAAGGAAAGCTTCCTTGCACCTGCATTTCAAGTAGGAAATTTGCTTTGTCCTTTGTAGTATTCTAGAAAAACCCTTTATAGGTCATCAGGACCCAGTTTGTATAAAAGAGAAGCAGCATGACAAAGGAACACAGTGCTTCTGGTAGCATTACGCTCCACTGTAGCACTGGTAACTGATGGGAAGCCATAGAGATTCTTATCATAGATTGTATTTTATATTACAGGTGAAACAATAGGTTTGACACAACTCCTTTACAAAATACCAGCCTCAGTTTACTTTACTCCCACTTACATTGGAACCAAAGTAATACAAAGACTTTTTTTGAGTTGACTTTTTGCAGGAGGTGGACTTCCAGCACTGAACCTGTGAATTTTCCAGCACAGCTCACCTTTTCGAGGGGCAGCATGTCTATGGTTTTGTATTGCTATTGTGCATGCTTATTCTGCTGGTACCTTAAAGAATCTTGCAAAGTCCTGTTAGCAAGCACTGGGTTTTTCACTGTGTTTTTATTTAGAAAAATGGTTGCTCACTGTGGAGTTTTGATATACGCAGCTTGTTATGAGAAAAAGGTGGAATGAATGACAAGTGGATGCCCTCTGACTCCCAAAGGGATCAGAGTGACACTGCAACTTTACGGTTGTGATGGCAGTGATTATTCTGTATGTACTCCTCTTTGTCTGTAACACGATACAATAAAAAGGCCAGGTGCATTATAGTGTTTGGTGTGTTTTGTTACTGATTTGAAAAATGACAGTGCTTATGCATTAATAAATATCTGGTCTTTAGTTAGGTGGAAAATCTGTGGGGAAAAAGTACTATTTTGAATACAAAAATAAAGAAATCTTGTATTTGGGCTAAAATTATGCATGTATTCTTATTTGATGAAGTATAAAATATATAAATCACTTTTATTTGAAAGTAAAAGTACTATAAAGATTTTTGTGAGCTTTTTTAAGTACCCCATACTGTACTTGGTAGTTGTGATAAAGCTCCTTAAACTGCTATGATAGCACAAGGAAAAAAATTGAGCTAGATAGTTTTAATTTGTTATTGCTCATGAAGTTAATTGAAATTCGGAGCCCCTTTGAGTCTCCACTTACTAGAAGAAACTCTGTGTTTTACACAAGGATTAACCACAGGAGGCCTTAGGGCAGAAAGTCTGTTTTCCCACACAATACTTCCAGCACTGTTTTGCTGTGGAGCCAAGGCAGTTCTCATGACCTTTTGTAGCCAAGCTGTGTCTTCTTTCATTTGGTGCAGTGCTGCTGTGGGTAGTCCTGGGCACATGGCTTTTGTACACAAGGTGGAGTGCAAGTGGTAGGCTGTAATGATGCACAGACAAGTCTTCCATATAAGAAAAATGGTATAATCATGTCAACATGGTGCTATCTCTGGGTAGGCAAGGTGATGGATAAATCCTGGTAATGATCTCCACATCTCCAGAACTTCTCATACCTCAGCTAATGCCTTCTCTGAGTGTAATTCTGTGTGTGTTCTAAGTTATTAATTTTAAGCTGAGTCTCAGGACAACTCTCTGAAGACATGTCTCTGGATTTCATCCTGAAAAATGGGAACACAATTTATCTTCCTTGTAAGGAAAATTCCTGTTAGGTAACATCAAAACCAAGTAGTAGTAATATTGCTAGCTGAACCTGGCTAGTGTATGGGCTGGTATTCTTTGCCCATATTTTTATGTGGAATACTCTGAAAGCTCCATGGAATACCCTCTCCAGATGGAAATGTCATATTTAGAAATCAGTTATATCTTTGTACCCACAACTAATTTGTAGTTAACTCCTGGGTGATCTGAGCATCCGATATACATTCCCTGTTTTCTAAGCAGCAGTTATAAAGTGTGTACATAGTTCTCTTAAGAGTAGTGGTGTGGTTTCTGTGCCCCCTGGCTGGTACCCAGGGATGAGACCTCTTCCTGTAGTGGTGGGACATGTGGAGGGGCCTGGTGCTAGCTCTTTGTTTGCTCCCAGAAGACAGATCTCACTCTGCTGAGAGAAAGCACCTGCTGTGCTGAAGGAGGATAACAGGAATTCCAGTTTAGTTCAAAGGTAATTTAAAAGAAAGGCTCTGAGGCTGTTCTGCCTTTCCCAAGGCAGAGAAGCACAAAGGATGTTTTTTCTTTGGAACTGGCACGAGGCAGAAAGTTTGCCTTTGCCTCTCTTGACAGACAGGAGAGAAGATGCCCTTGCCTAAAACAATGTTCTGCTTAGTCCTTCCCTGGCCAGGACTCAGTGAGTGATAGAAAAGGGGAGCAAGTGTGGAGAGAAAAAGAGATAACTGACTTCTACAGCCTGGCTTTGTTCCTGGCAAATCGGTGCTCCTGACTGAGAAACCAGAGCTGCAGCCTCCTAAGGGTTTGTATGCTGTGCATGGTAAGCAGAGGCTGAATCGTTTTGAATGAGGACAGTGCTGCAGACAAAGCCAGCACAGTGGTATCAGGGACAGGGTTTGAAATGGGGAGCACAGAGATGTTGCGCACACTGACTCAAAAGAAGATGTTATTTTCCCCACTCTCATCAAGCACAGCATGTGAATTTTCCAAGCTTTCCAGAACCTGCTTTTGAGAGCTGTGCAATGAAATGCAGATGGAAGAGGTGGTTGTGAATATCCCATAACCCTCAGCTGGAGCTGTGCAGAATACAGAAAGTCTCAGGGAGGCTTTGGGCTGTGCTTGTTCCCAAAGAAAATACAGAAGAGCTGGAAGCATGTTTTTCAAACTGGTACCTGCTGATTTGAAAATTAAAGAGAAACAAATTTGCAGGTGCTTTTACTGGGCAAGGAGAAAGGCAGCACTCACTTAAAGACTGTTCTTGGCACCAAAAGTTAAATAGAGGTAGAAAACTAATATCAATTGCAAACTTTTTTTTTTTTTTTTTGCAAAGACACAATAATGATATTATAACAAGTCTATCTGCTGTAGTGTTTAATTCCATTTCTTTTTAATTGCTTAAGGAACTGTGCCTCTATCTCACTACTCGTGTACATGGAATTGAATGTACAGCAGACTGTAAAGCATGTAAAATTCATCATTAACAGTTAAATATAGTATAAGCCTGAAGAACAATTGGACAACTGGGAATTCTTGAGCTGTGATGCAGTTTTGCCACTCAGGTGCTTTGAGGTACAGGCCATGTTTCTTTTGCCATCTCTAGCCTCTAAATTAATCAATGGATGAATACTATTTTCATAAGAATGCTGACCACTGTCTCTCACTTGTGGATGTATTAAAAGCAAACATGCAATTTATATATGAAAATAACAAAATTCTTGCTTTACATAGAATCATAGAGTGATCTGGGTTGGAAGGGACCTTAAAGATCATCCAGTTCCAACCCCCCTGCCATGAGCAGGGACATCTTCCACTAGACCAGGCTGCTCAAAGCCTCATCCAGCCTGGCCTTGTAACTCAATTGCAGCATTGAGTTACAATTGTTTTAAGGTGAA